TTTTAAAAATTACATTTCAAACAGAAATATGAACAATAATGCATTTTGTTACACCAAAAAGGTAAAATGTTTATTTTCATCTTTATCAATAAACACAAACTGACTGTACAGTGCAAAAACAAAAGATGATTAAAAACAAAAACGTTAAAAATAACAGTGGACGAGTCCTTCTGAAACACACCATGATACACATGGTGTGTGAGTGGGCAGTTAAGTTGGCAAACTTCAAAATGTCTTGGCCTATAAGATTGTTGACCAGTACATTACCATGAAAAATACTTATTTACATGCATTGTTTACAGTAAATTTCTTCTTCATTCTTCTTATGTACAAACCACAGAACAGATGCCACTTGTATATTTTCCTTCAAAACATTAGTAAAGCAATTGCACTATAGTCACCAGGAGATATGACAAGTTATATTTACAAAAATGATAAAAACTAACTTCAGCATTTACAAGAATGTATTCATACTGATGTGAGTATAAAAGCTCTATTGTAACAGGTGTTGTTTGGTTAGTGGACCTGAGAGTAATTCATTCTGCAATAAATACAATTCAAGTTTCAAGTTTCAAAAGGACAAACATGAATTCTAAAACTGCACATAAGACTTCAGAATATTGAATTTCACTGATTAACCAGCAGGGGGAGATAATATCCCAAAAATCTCCGAAGACTTGTTTTTTTTAAATCGAAAAAAACAACAAAAACAACTCTAGGCTATCAAAAAGGTTTCTTGTTGACACCAAACATTTGTTTTACCTTCCACACACTTTTTGGAAACGATTCCTCATATCTCAGTATCACATCTCTGCCAGCTGGTTCACAATTCATTTCAATACATAAAAGTTGTCGGCCAGACGACAAGCTCCCAGTTCTACAGAGGTGTGCGTGTTCTCTGAAACAGAGGTCACAGGGCGTTTCACAGCTGCAGGGTTCAGATGACGATGCTGGTGCCACTGCGAGAACTCTTGTCCTGAGAGAGACACACTAACTTTAGATTCACTTAACTTTAAATCACTGTAACTTAGACTTTTCTGCGTGTTTGATTACGTGTGCGTTTGTCTTGATGTAAGTGCGTTATTGTGCCAATCAACTCTTATCAACTAAAGCAGCGAGTGTCTTACAGAGTAGCGCTCATTCCTCCGTGTCCCTGGTTTCTGTCCAGGCTCGTACTCAGAGTAGATGGGTGGTTGGTCAGCGTAGCCTCCACCTCCTCTCCTCCCTCCTCCTCCTCTCCTGCTGCTGGCCTCATCATCCGAGCTCCAGGACCCTCGTCTTGGGTGCCGGGATCCTGGTGGGGAGTGGTTTCCTCTGGACCTGTTGTCGAACAGGTCATCCCTCGAACGGGAGCGGGGACGGTCCATGCCTCCTCGTGCCCCGTTGTGACTCCGGCCGTCCAGGGAGTCCTGGCTGTAGCTCCGGGGAATGACTCTAGATCTTGTGGGTGAGGGGTAACGCCTACCGGCAGCTCCTCGCTCATCTCGGCGGCCGAAGCCACTGCGGCTGCTCTCGCTCGAGCTTGGGGGGCGAGTCTTGGGTGCAGGGGGTGGCATTCTGCTTGGGTACTGCTCCCTAATCGGTGGAAGTGTGATGACGCGATGCTCTCGTGGGCCATCATCAAGGGCAGAGATCATGCTGGGAGGGCCGGGGGAAAACGGGACAGTGATGGGAATGTGCTGGGGAGGAGGTGGGAGGTGCTGCATGTGCTGGGGAGGAGGTGGGATGTGCTGCATGTGTGGGGGTGGAGGTGGCTGGGACTGATGGGAAGAGGAAACCAGAAACAATTTAAAAAGAGAAGTAAAAACAAACAGTAGAAAAATCACAAATGAAAACCACCACTTGCTCATTTCAGTGAAATTCAAAGACACAGGAGACACACTACAGACAAAATACATATTTTTGTGCAGTCAAAGCACAAGAAACATTTTACCATACAGTACCAATGGGAATGATACAATCATAACTATATAGGTTTCTCCAGACATATTAGTTTGTTTGTTTACAGTCCAGTGGAGGCGTGCAACCTTATCTGAACCAAAGACCATCCTTCACTAACTTCATATAAGTTTAGAAATGTTCTGATACCAGCATCGGAAATGCTGCTGAAAACACTGGGTCTGGCATCAGCAAATCTATGTAGTCATCCATAACCATGTTATTAACTATATAAGTTGTGCTCAGATAAAACAGTAATTTCCTTTTCTCAGATATCACTTCTTCACCTGTGTGACTGAGGAAATGCATGATCAAACTGCCTCTACAGAAATACAAACTGAAAAAGTGTATGATGGGCCAATAAGTAGATACTTGAATAAATTAATAAATTAATAAAGTGAAGAGGAGCGGGAGCAGAGAGAGTTCACATATCAACAACTGTAAATAACAGTATGAACAAATACCAATTTAAGAGCAGCTACATACCTGTAAGAGAGGAGTGGCCATGTCCATCCCCCTCACCTGGCTCTCCAGGTAATTAAGCATCTGATTGGTGCTGGCAGGGGTGTGGTTCCCTGGGACATTGGGAGGAGGCATGCTGTAAGCTGAGGACTGAGGGGGAGGGAGGGGCATTGGCTTCATGGGGATGCTCTTCCCTGAGATGGAACCTGGAGGAGAAAACAAAGTCAGATGATTTTCTTTGCAGAGATAAACCCGAGTGCAGTCTGGAGGTGTTAGAGCCACAGTGTTCAGGGTCATGTATGCGTACCTGGGTAGAGCAGCGGGTTCATCTGTGACGAGGCGTGGCTCATTGGTCCATATACCGGCTGTCCACCCATCCAGTTCATTCGAGCCTGCTTCATCATACGATGCTGCATCACCGCTGAAAGATGACGACACCAACAGATTTACAATAAACTTTTAGACTCGTGTCCCACCTACCAGGTAACACGGCTTTATCCAGGATCAGTATGAATATGAAGTAGGACTGAGACAGGTAACGCGTCACAACACACATTTATATACTGCTTTATCGTAACACAGGTTATCAGTGCATAGCATGGTTGCTGTTTACTCGAGCGTCCTTAAACCCACCTTCTTCAGGACAGCAGCATTGCTGTGGGCAGCAGGGACAGCGCACGTAGCAGCAGCACTTCTGAGGGCAACACTGGCAGCAGCAGATACAGAAGAGGAGGATCAGAAGCAGCGCTCCGATGATGATGAACAACACAACCAACCAGTCTGAGAGTGAGGAGGGAGGATGGAAGATCAGCAGGGTGTGGGATGATTGAACATATGTTTAATAGGTTTTATAATGTCCCTCCTTATGTTTTCTTTTTGTGTGAATGTCTGAGAGTGAGCAGAATTACACAAAAACTACAGCACCGATTACCACATCCTTCTTGGAAGGATGTGGTAATCGGCCCCATTAATCACACGACTGCTTTGGCAGCTTTGGTGGAAGAATGCACTCCCTTCTACTTGATATTGTGATAACAAAGATATGTAGTTAAATATTTATAACTCCCAGTCAAAAATCAGTGTCTCTGCACACGCTTGTTTCTTACGGTAGACGATGAGTTTGATTTCTTTGTCTGAGTCTCCTGCAGTGTCTCCAGTGGCATCCACGTTGCAGTAGTACACACCGTTGTCCCACCACATCACCTCATTAATCACCAGGTCTGCCTCTATATACACAAACACACACATATACACAAACACACCCCTAATTAAACAAAGGTCACGAATTTGTCGAAAACAGAATATTGAGAGAAACCAAAGAATATTTGGCATTTGGGTCACTGCAACTAAAGATTATTTTTGTTCAATTATGGGGTTAATTGACTAATCAGTTCAATAGTTCAGTATTTCAGCTGTAAAAGGAAAAATGTAAAAGCTAAATATTGAGGCAAAGAATTCAAACATTAGTTCTCAAAACCAGACATGGTTTCATCTTGTTTTCGTCACAAGCTCGATGCCGTCTGAAGGGTGTTTGCATGAACTCACTGTTTTGAATAGAGATCCTGCGTTCGCGGTATTCTGATCCCAGGATCGGCTCACTGGATCCTCTCTTCTGGATCACAACGCGCACTGTTCGCTGACGATCCGGACAGTCATTGGATGGGTCCTGTCCCAACTGCAACGCAGACTGGTACGCTGCAAACCACAGACAAAAACCACAATAAATAAAAATAATAAAATACACATTTTCTACGATTGGCTCCAACATCTGTCACTTGTTTTTCTACACGTACACCTTGTCGCTGTTATGAACAAATCATGTTGATTGTGAAGCATTAAAAAACGCTCTGATGACAACTGACCATCCCTGAAGCCAGTTTGTCAGGTCAGAATAATCAGTGGTGGGTCAAACACTTTGCTCCAGACTGGAATATTTCTACTTGACTACTGAGAGGTATGTCTTTTGACATTCACTGTCCCCAAATGAGAACTTCTTCAGACTTTGGTGATTCCCTGACTTTTCCTCTTGCACCACAATCATGACACCATTTTAATTTAACTTTGTTTTAAAGGTCCAGTGTGTAAGATTTAGGTGAAAGGATCTATTGGCAGAAATTTAATGTAGAATAATCCTCATGATGTTTTCACTAGTTCATTTCATCTAAAGAATATTATTTATATTTAAAAATCTTATATTTATATCGAGGGGACCCTCTCTACGGAGGCCTCCATGTTTTTTACAGTAGTCCAGACTGAACAAACTAAACACCTTTTGAGTTTTTAGGACAACGAAGGCTGCCACAGGTTTTCATGTTTGGAAGGAGAGGGTGAGGTGAGGGGTGTTCAGCTGCAACATGCAACTTCAACACTAGATCACTAAATTCTACACACTGTACCTTTAAGATCAAATATCTGCCAAACTAGAGACAATCCCAGTACTCAGTTAATGAGCAAAGGGTAACATGCTCACAAGCTAACAGAGATGATTTAGCATTCAGCAAAAAGTACCACAAGGTACAGCATCACAGAGCTGCTAGTGTGGTTATAGAGTCTTAGTCTTGGTGTGAATATATAAAAAGTTGTCAATAACCAAACCAAAATCCAGTACGAATGTTTTTGACAGTTCTGAGCCTCTGGAAGTCCAGATATTACAATTCAAAGATAAATGTTTCATCAACACAGGCAACACAATGAACGGACAGTTCGGAGGCTCTCATTTGGACATTTGCGTTCAGACATACAGCCCCTCTGGAGAATGTCCTGAGGTTCTCCATAGTTCAGTGCATGTCTGAAAGACGCTTAAAGACACTGAGCTAAAAACACTGGTGTGAAGATATAAGAAACAAACTGAAGAAACGTAAAAATGGAAAAGATGGAAAAACACAAATATATTTAAAAATGTAAAATGCACATATTTGTAACAACTGCACGAACAGTTGCCTGCTCAACCACTAAATACATGTACGACGTGTGCGGGAAGAATTCACAGAGGATAATGTGCTGGTGGATAAGGGCAACTACCTAATTTAGAGAGTTCAGAAGGTCAAAGTAAATATATAAAATATCACTTCTCTCTGTATTACACTCAGGTGTGTGTTTCATTCCTCACCTGTGGAGTAGTACTCCAGTACAGGGTCCTTACAGAAGGACTTATACCTCCAGGTGACCAGGACATCTTGGAGACTTGCAGAGGTGCTGTAGTCGCAGCGGAGGATCACTGAGGCGAACAGAGCTGTGCTGCGCTCCTGCTGGGGAACAATCACCTGAACACCGACAGACACTGCGGAGGGAGAGACGACAAACAGAGAGTCACATAGCCTGCAGCGCCTGTGTGATTCAAATTTAGAGAAACAGTAGCCTATGGCACTTTTGCCAAAAAGCAAAGAGGTGGAGCGTCCCCATGAGGAAACAATGCATGTGACGGTTTCTCTCAGCACAAGGAGTTTATTTTCAAAGTGGCAGAACCAGACAAACAGGTGACACAGGCAAAGGCACAGGAAATGGCTTACTGTGAAACCACCAAACATACACTCACAAGCTGGAGTGAAACCTGTTGAGTAACAACTGTCCCTGTGTGGAGGACAGGGACTCTTCTGAGTTTCATTCAAATGATGGTTTTAAAACATCTGGTTATATCAACCTGTTATTTGTGTCATTAAAAAAAATAAAATAAAAAATTAATAACTCAGATGGAAAAATACAGCAATGCACAAAGTTCTTCGCCTCTTGTTTACAGATACTGGGGATGTAATAATGTGAATCTAACAATATGTATGTAACATTGTCTATAAAATATTGTGAGTGTAACATTGTTTTTAATATATAGTGAGTGTAACAGTGTGTGTGTGTGTGTGTGTGTAGGACAGTGTAGGTTAACGCAAGATCGTATAATCGGATAAACAAAACCTGTCACGTGACCGATACCTGTGGTTTGTGTCAGTCTGAATTTGGAGAAAATAAAAGTTTGAACGGTTTGTTCTTCAGACGAGGTCGAGACGTGAGGAAATGAAATGTACCTTCGAGCAGCGACAGCAGGAGGATGCAGGTGATGGCGGCAGGTGAACTCCGCATGACGACACGAAGCTGCAGCGACACGAACAGTGCGGAGGAGAAAAGATTCACACAAACACACAGAACTTAAAAGTCAAGAGGAGGAAGATTCAAAACCTCAGACGTGATGGGCCCGAAGATGGACCTGAGTGTAAACACGAGTCTTCTCTGTCTCGCGTCTTCACTTCGTCTGATCAGTTTCTACCTGGGACTCAAGTCATCTGAGGCCACGCCCCCGAAACAGGTGCGCTCATCCTGGGTGGTGACGTCATCAGGTGGGTTCAGAGAAATCTACCCCCAACTCAGCAAAACATTTTCATAGTCTCTTGTTTATGTATTATATATTTATAATATATAATTTATCTATGTACTCGTGTTTGATTCTTTCATTCTAATTGTCATTGTTTCTCCAATCAAGCATTTAAAAAACATTAACACAACCAACAATCACACAGCTTCAATAGTAAAACTGTCTAGACTGAAGAACTGTTCTCCAAACGGACGTCATTTTATTTTACAATCTGTGTTTTACTACACTTCTTAACATGTTTTATATTTCCCTTATTTATTTGACTTTTATATGTTTTCATTTTTCTTAAATTTGATTTAAGAAAAAAGGAATGATTTGGTTTGTTTGTATGAATGTATAAAACAATTATTGAATAAAAACACAGAGTCGATGATATGGTGTATAAACATGTGTCTGGTGTTCACTGAGATCCCAAAAAGTAAAAACATAAAGATGAAAAATTCCAAATATGTGTAAAAATGAATAAATATTCTTTGAATGTGTTTCTTTAATTGTTTTTTTTTTCCCTCACAGGAAATGTGACCACAATTCACAAAAGAGCTGACAAATTAAAATCCTCAGAAAATCAAACAAAACGATAAGTTTTTTAAAGTTTTTTAAACTTTGAAATTATGAATTTTTTTTTTGATTGGAAACAAAGAGGTTTAGAAATTCAGACAGAAAATGAAAATATTTTGTTCGTATGGTCACGTTGTCATTATTATTACTTTTGCAAAATTAAAGTGAAATTCCGTTCCCATGCGATTCTTTGGAAAAAGGCTTTGTATCAGATGACAATTAATCGTACATAAAAATCATCTGAAAAAAATCATCGGTCCAGTTAGAGACAAAGATTCTTGGGATTGTTTTCCTTCTTTAATATTAAAAACAGCGGAAAGACTCAAAGTCTTGTTTTGTCCAGTAGTGCAGATCTGAGCCTAATCCACTAGATGTCAGTCTAAACCTGTTTCTATCTGTGCAGGAGTTTCATTGTCATGTGATTTCTATATTTTTCATGTCCTTCAGACTCAGAGTGTTTTCACCACTCTGCACCTGCAGCTCCTCAATATTTTGTTTTTCCTGAAAACCTCTGCCAACATCCACCCACTGTTTCCTGCCCGTTCTTCCTCGAGTCCTGTTCTTTCTGCTGAGGCCTTAAACCACAAACACAAAAAACTGCTTTGCATGCTCATTCTATTGATTTGATTCTGTACAAACACAATCAAGAAACCACCCACAGTAAAACACTGTGACACTACACCAGGCATGCCTAATATTAATCCAAATACACTGCAGACTCCAAACATACCTGCCTATATACCGAGCTACATTAGCCAAGGACAACTGTTGCTAAAACGTCAACAATCTTGACTCTTCACTTCTGTTGAATTACATGAAATGAAACTACACTTTCATATGTTACACAGACTTATTTAGAATTAT